CCGTCGTACATGCCCACCGGGCAGGTCCCGACGCAGGAGGCCCCATGCAGCAGCAGGAATTGCGCGGCGCAGCGCGAGCACGAGCCAATGTCCGGGCACGCCAGCGACCCGTCGTCAGTCACAGTGCACCCGGCCTGGCCGCTGGCCGCGGTGCACTCCTCGCAGTCGGCCGGGCACGCCAGGCACACCCGGTCCGGCGTGGACAGGGGCGCCCACCCGGCCGGGCAGGCGCTGGCGCAGGCCCCCTCCGCCGGCAGCAGGAAGCCCGCCGCACAGCTGGTGCACCTGTCCGGCCGCTCGGTGCACGTGTTGCAAGCACCGTCGCAGGGCTCGCAGATGCGCGACCCGGCCGGGGCGAAGTGTCCCGCCGGGCAGGCTGCCATACAGGCCGTGCCCGACAGGAGAAGGCCGGCCTCGCACGCGGTGCAGGCCGCCTGGCAGGTGCCCTGCTCCTGGCACTCGGCGCACCCGGCCGGGCAGGGCTCGCACCGGCGCGACGCCAGGCACACGAAGTGCCCGGCCGAGCAGGTTTCCCCACAGGCCCCCCCATCCAGGACCCGGCCGGGAAGGCAGGCCGTGCACTCCGAGGCCAGGGGCCCCAGGCAGGCGGCGCAGGATGCATCGCAGCTTGCACATACCCACCCGGAGGACCCGCCATCCTGGGCGTAGGTCCCGGCCGGGCAGTCCAGCGAGCAGGTCCCATCCTGCGTGAGAACCCGGTCCGGGGGGCATGCGCTGCACTCGGCCCCCGAGGGCCCGGTGCACGCGGCGCACGTCCCATGACAGGGCAGGCATGTCCCCTCGCTCTCGAAGGTGCCCGCCGGGCAGGTGGCGTGGCAGTGCCCGCCCACCTTCAACGGGGCCGCCGGCCCGCACGTCAGACAATGGCCCGGCCCGGGCCCGTAGCAGGTCAGACACGAGCCGTGGCAGCTGGCGCACAGGCCGCCCTGGGGCGCGGCGCCGGCCGGGCACTCGGTCCCGCATGCGCCGCCGGCCAGGAGGAACCCCCGCTCGCACAGGGCGCACGTGTCGGCCGACTCCGGGCAGCTGGCGCAGTGCGAGGCGCACAGGGCGCACCCGGCTGGCGCGGTGTTGTGGCCGACCGGGCACCCGGGCACGCACCGGCCCGGGGTCTGCCCGGCCGGCAGGGCCAGCAGGCCCCCCGGGCAGGCGGTGCACTCGGTGCTCCGGACCCCGACACATGCCTCGCAGGAGGCATGGCAGGGCAGACACCGGCCCCCGACGGCAAGATGCCTGGCCGCGCACTCCTGCACGCAGACACCATTCTGTAGCACGAGCTCGGTGCACCGCCAGCAGTCCTTGTCCGTGGGGCCGTTGCACGTGGCGCAGGCCGCGTCGCAGGGCAGGCACTCGACGCCCGCGCGGTACTGGCCCTCCGGGCAGCCGGACACGCAGGTCCCCGCGCCGGAGGTGACCTCCACCAGCTCCAGCCCGGCGGCACAGCCGGTGCACCGGTCCGGCTGGCCGTCGGCGCAGGCGGCGCAGCTGATGTCGCACGGCTGGCACGACTCGCCGTTGGAGAATGTCCCCGCCGGGCAGGCAGCCAGGCAGGCCCCGTCCTCGGCCAGCAGCAGCCCGCCGGCGCAGGCAAGGCACCTGCCGGTGCCGGTGCACGAGGCGCAGCCGGCCGGGCAGGGCACGCAGGCGCCCGTCTTGCCGGGGCCCGGGGCGGCCGCACCCCACCGGAAGCCCGCGGCGCACACCAGACAGTGGGTGGGCCCGCCGGCGCACAGGTCGCACGAGCTGTCGCACCGGGCGCACCGCTCGGGCCCGGGGAACTCCCCCGGCGGGCAGGTGCTGCCGCAGAGCGACGGCGTGCCCGGGTCCGGGCTCAGGAACACCAGCCCGTCCATGCAGGCGCTGCAGGCATCTTCCTCGCCACAGGTGGCGCACGAGGGGTCGCACGCGCGGCAGACCCCATCGTTGGGGAGGAAGTGCCCGCTCGCGCAAACGGTGCACATGCTGGCCGAAAGGCACCGCGTACAGGTGCTCGGGCAGGCCCGGCAGGAGGGGCCGTCGGCGTCGGGCCACGTGCCGGCCGGGCAGTCCCCCACACACTGGCCGTCGTGCAGGTAGCTGCCCGCCGGGCAGCCGGTGCAGGCGTGCATGTCGTCGGGGCGCTCGCACTCGCTGCACGTCCCGTGGCAGGGGAGACACTCGGGCCGGGGGTTGTGGTCGGCAGAAAGGCCGAACCCCGGCAGGCAGGCTGTGCAGATGTATGTGCCGCTTCCGGGGCCCGGGTCGGTGATGGCCTGGCACAAGTCACAGCCTTCGGGGCACTCGCACGCGCCGGAGACCGGGTCGGGGGTCAGCCCCTGGGGACACGCCTCGAGGCAGGCGCCCGGCGAGGAGGGCAGATGGAAGGAGCAGTCGTGACACTGGTCAGGGCCCGGGCCGAAGCAGTGACGACACGCCGGGGCGCACAGGCCCGAGCAGTCCGGGCCGTAGAACCCGGCGGCGGTGCATTCCCCCGAGCCGATGGTCAGCCATCGGATCGGCATGTGGGGAATGCTCAACAGGAAGGCGTTCGGCTCGGAGGGGCCGCCCTGCGTTGAGGAGGCCCGCAGCAGGTGGAAGTGCAGGGGGCTGCGCGCGAGGCCGTCGGCCGGGATCGACAAGGGCGTGAAGGCGGCCGGCTGCAGCCAGCACGCCGCATCGGCGGCCAGCCCATGCCAGCACCGGAGCAGGGCCACCCCGATGTGCTCCTCGGTGAGCAGGATGAGAGCCGCCGGGGTGTCCTGCCCGGACAGCGACACCGCCAGGACCTGGAAGGCCCCGGTCGCGGCGGGAAGCTGGCCCAGGACATCCACATTGGCCGGGACATTCACCGTCCGACCATGGGCCCGGGCCCCGCGCGGCATGTGCGCCGCAATCCAAGCCTGCCTGCCGGAGGAGGGATCCACCCGGAGCCCGGAGAGCACGGCCTCCCAGCCGGCACCGGCGGCCGGCAGCTTGACCGGGTGCATCTGGCCAGCATCCGGCAGGGCGGGCAGCACATCCAGCGCCGGGTGCGCATCGAAAGTCCGCGGGTCCACGGACCGGAACATGGTGTACGGCGCCAGCAGGGTCCGAGCGCCGCCCCGGGCCAGGAGCAGCCACCCGGGGCCCGCCGGGCCGGGGCTGCTGGACGGGTCGCTGAAGAGCGGGAAGGCGGCCGGATGCGCGCTCGCCCCGAAGATGGTCACATGTGTGAGGGCGCCATCGTCCTCAAGTCGAAAGACAAGCACCTGGTCATTGGTCAGCAGCACGGTCAGGGTGCGATCGTCGACCACCCGGATGGACTGACAGTCGCCGCTGATGCTTCCGAGAGACGAGATGGTTGCCAGACACGAGGAAGACGGCGAGGCGTCCGGGTCAAGACACTTGAGGGTGCCCCTTGACAGGGAGGAGTTGGGGGTGCAGGAGAAAAAGTGGACAACCGCCCCGGAGCCGGTGGCACTGACCGGGCCAATCTCGCCATACTGCGTGGCCATGTGGACGTGCGCCTTCAAGGCATCGAGGGGCTGGAAGCTCAGGCCCGGGGGGGAGCCATTGCCACCGGCGCCGGGGGACGGTGACAGCCACATGGGGGAATCCTGCTGCGAGAGGCCGAGGAAGTACATGGGCGCCGCGTCGCCGGTCACAGAGGCGGCCACCAGATGCAGGGCCCCGCCGACGAGCATGAGCCGCGTCCGGGCCAGGGTTACAAAGTCCCCCGGAGGGGGGCCGATGTCGGCTTGGAAGGTGGCCGGCCAGATGACGCGCGCGGGCCAGACATCCGGGACGTCGGGCATGCACCGCCTGGACCCGGGCCAGGCGGGGTCCACATGCTGCCCCGACGGACAGGCCGGCTGGCAGGTGCCGGCCCCGGAGCTCGGGTCGATGACCAGCACATGGCTGGCGAGGCAGACGAGACACCGGTCGGCCACACAGGCCGCGCAGTGGGAGGCCGCGCAGGTGGAGCAAATGCCTGCTCGATCCGGCGGGGCGCGCGCGGGGGGGGGG